GGAGTGAGAAGAGGAGCCTTCACCCCCGCGACCCCTGCTCCTTGCCTGCGCCTTGCCGAACCCTCGTCACTTCTGTCTCGCTGCGTGAGACGTCGCTTGCCCTCTCGTCCTTGCTTGACTCCCGTCGTCTCCTTCCGACTGGCGACCCTGAGAAATGTGTTTCTTGCTCCTCCGTCATTCTCGTCATCCTCCTTCTTTTCTCTCGCCAGTTACTTTCGTCAGACTCACCTTCGCATTTGCGCCACTGACTGTCGCCGCGCTACTCTGACGAATCTCTCGTATCTTATCCCATCGCCTGGCCTCAATTGGACGAACCCCGCGACAGCCCTGGCCACCATCGACCACTCGCCGGCCGATTTCCCAGGGTCCAAGGGTCCCGTCGAAGCGAGGCCCAGCTTTCAACGGAGTCGACCACGAGAAGGCCCTGTCGAGCTTGTCGTTTCTTAGACGACGCCGCCGACGACTGTCACCGCAACATCAACATCAATATTGTCCGTCTTGACCGCCACCGAGCGCGACTCCAACGGCAATATCAAGCACGCGACACCTGGACCGGCACTTGCTAACAACTGCGCATCCTGCATTTGCACTTCCAGATACCCAGCATTCTTTTTTCTGCTTTTCCAGCCTCTTTTGCCAGTTCGTGCAGTCCCCAGCAGTTTCCCCGCCATCCGAGACATCCTACCATCACACCCGTCGTCAATTGAGACATTCCTGTGCTGCCACTACCGAACACCCGTGGCGAAATACACCATCGACCGTTGCCCAACGCTGACCCCAACTGCCGATCCAACGTCCTGAAAACCGCCCGACCCCAAAGTTCAGCCGACTGCCTTGCTCTCACGTTTCCATCGGCCCATGGCGAGCCATCCGACGCAACGCAACCCTCGTGTTTAAACGTCCCCTCGGTGCTTTCAAACCGCACGCAGAGATTCAGCTTCGCACCTGCTGCGGCACGCCCACCACTTGCCGCGATCACCAGTCGCGTAGTTAGTCCACCACTGCAGAATACCAGGTCCTGGCCTGTTGTTTCGCAATAACAGCCGCAGTTATACCTTCAAAGCGCATCCACCACCACGAGTCGGCCTCTGCCGTTCGACCCTCATCGACGCCTTAATTCAAGGATTCGTCTCCTATCCAAGTCTCTGGCCACCCTCACCGGCTCGAGCTACGCTAGCACACGCAGCTGCCATCCGCGCTTCTGCACCTCCAAGCAGGCATTACCCTAATCATCGCCATTGACTATCGACTAATTTGGGCATCCAACACCTCAGTCCGAATGCCGGTTTGATCCTTCGTCCAAGAATCGTCCCGTATTGCGCATCCCAGAAGAAACCGTGCTTCAACGTATTTGTGGGCAATCGGATCGCGGAGCTGAGCTTGTCGTTGCTTTTTCGCCGACAAAATGGAGATCCAGATACAATCCCGCGAACGCGAGAGGTCGCATCCCTCTCCCACCTATCCCCGTACGGCTTCCAGGTCGAGTACAAGTACCGGCGCGACCCGACGCACCCCCTTAAGTGCTCATAGCTCGACTTCACACCTCGCATCTTCGCCACGCCCGTCGAGTGGCCACCCTTCCCACAGATTCCACCACGCATCCTGCGCCCCATCCACCAGTTCACGGCCCTCTTCAGTGCTATCGAGAGATCGAGGTTCAGAGTCTGGCAGGCAAAGCGCGGCTTCTACGTACTTGCAGGAGAAGCTCCAGAAGAGGAGGGAGGAGACAGAACGGTTATCCGCCTTAGAGTCAACCCCGGAAATGAGCGCTTCCATGGAGCTTCCCGCTAGAAATCAGAGTTCGCCTGCGAAGGGAAGCTCTGTCGATCGACCGAGGTCAAGCGGAGGAAACCCTGACTCGGCAAAGAAGAAGGGATTCGGCCTAAAAGAAATGGAGGCTGTAGGTTGGCCCTGTTCTGCCATTTGACTTGACTAACACCAATTGGCACAGACTGTTTCCACGCTGCACAAACAAAACTTTGACTTGAAGCTCGAGCTCTTCCACCGACGAGAGAGGCAAAGCGTCCTAGAAGATCGAATCGAAGCCCTCGAAGTAGAAAAGGCGCAGGTTGATGACGTGAACGACAAGTTGCTCGATGAGCTGGAGAAAAGAGACAAGGCTGTGCAGGAGGCCGTTCAGATGATTGTGGCTCTCGAGGCCCAGGTTGAGACACTATTGCAAGAGCGCGAGATGGTGCGGCAGGTCGATGCTGCTGGTTATCCTCCGCTAAACAATATCGAGTCGAGACTCAATGGGCCTACACCCAAGCCGAAGATTGCAGATTTAGCTCAGCTTGAGGAGGACGCCAAGGCACTTAACCGCATGCCCAGCTTCATGTCGGATCGCACTGAGAATACGGAGAATTTACGAAAAGTCTACCTTAGCTCCCGTGGCAGCATTCTCAGCCTACCTCGCATCACAACAGAGGGCGTGGAGGACAACGATGGCCGTCGAATGAACAGCCTGACGAGCCCGAGCCTCAGCGTCCTTAGCGAAAGCTCCTTTACGAGCGTCTACGGAGAGCGGGAGGACCAGGACGAGACCATCGTGGCGGACCCGGAGGAGCCACCCACGATGGATGGTACCTCACTCCACTCTGAGCCACGCAAGCTTTCTCTTGGTGGTGACCTTACTCAACTCCACAGACCCGTAGCCATGGCGCCGGTGAGGCCAGACAGATCCAGTCGGTCTAGCTCTCTCAGCCGGGTACCGGGTCCCGGCCAGTTCCAGTCCATCCACGACATAATTGGTCACTCGTCGCCTCTTCAAAAGTTGGCGAGACTCGATCCATCATGCTTGGACAAGTCTCCGACCCAGGAGCATTTCTCGTTTGCCAACCGAGGCCAAACGCACAAGTATGTCAAGGACGCGAAGCGTGAGACTATGCGTAGAGTCGTAACGGACGATCCCATGGCCAGGTCTAGCGAGCATGCCCTCCCACCGACACCTGACACGATCTCGACGTCGACGCTGCGCCACTTTAAAAATTCAAACGACACATTATCACGCCAACGCAACGTCTCGGGGCAGAGCAGCTATCCTTCTGTTTCGGATGGCACTTCAAGGGGTGATGATGCTGACCACATGGGAGGCGCGCCCGTCTTCGACTCACCGCTGGTATCCGCGTTCGGGAATGGACCTGTCAGCGCGGCCCTCAGCAGCGCCTTTGATACTCGCCCGCCGTTGGTCTCCCGCCCCAGGTCAGCAGGTGAGAGCACCGTCTCTCGCAGGGGACCTGACTGGGAATCCGACAGCGAGTCCGTCCATTCGCTGGACTCGAGTCTCGACATTTGGCTACAGCAGGGCAAGGAACCCAAGGGATACGATCGGAGCGAATCTCCCGATCTGTTTAACTTCCCTCCCTCTGGAGGAGGATGGACACCGCAAGCTATGTTTGGGTCATCTGGGGGTGCCTATAATGTCCCCGGCCTCGCGCAGCAGCCGACTAACCCGGTCGAGGATCTCATGTCCGCTCAAGAAGCCTTGTTCCCAGATGCCGTCCATCCTCCGCCCGCTCCTAACAGGCGGTCTAGTCTGGGCGCGAAAACTGGGCCTACTTCGAGGAATTCGCCCGTCCATGCCAAGCTTCGGAAGTCGCCCTCCCGTAGCGGATCGCGACGTAACAGCAGTGTTGATGCGCAGATGCTTCATGTATCTCAGTCCGGGGCTCACACCCCTCAGCAACCAGAGTCGAAGCCAGCCTCGCGGTCGAAAGACAACCATTATCCGCCCGCGTCTGGGTCAACACCGCGGGGGCATAGGCTGAACTTCTTCCGTCGTTCAATTGGCGGAGGTTCAGCGGCACCTTCTGTGGAAGTCGACGAGGCCACTCAATCACCATCGGCAGCCCCAATGGGTGTTCCATCATGGGTCCAGCGCGGCACCCTGGCGGACGGCGAAAGAACCAGCGCAACTCCACCTCCGATTATGCGTAACCCCAGGCAAGGCCGCGCGGTGAGCGTTGATGAGGGCGCGCCGATTCATGATCGACCTCCGATGACTCCAACGACACCTGCTGCTCATCATACGACTCTCACGCCTGTGTCTAAGGGAGCAGCTTCTGGTGAGACAACCCCTACGAGCAACAATGCCAGTGGCGGGGCGCCATTAAACAAGCGAAAGTGGCTGCCGGGCTTCAGTAGGACTAGCAGTCTTAGGAACCGTGCTGGCTGAAGAGGCCGGTCGTTTGCGGAGCTGTTTTCTAGTGTCGTCGAAGAGAGAACAATGCCGCTTCCGTAGTGGACGGCAGGGCCTGGCTAGCCTTTCAGGGCTCGATAGCCCACTGTATTTTAACAGCTCCTGAGGAGCCTTCTTCTTTGGTTTATGGCATCGCGGGACACAGATACCCAACTGGTCAGGCCTGGAAAAGCGTATTTTTATCATTTCGAGGCGGTTGATTATGATGCGGGTGGTCTTAATGAGGTATGAATAGATGGGGTTTGGGTTTAGGGGCGTCGCCACGGCTGTGTGACGACCAACAAGACGGCGTTAATGGTTGGGCGTAGTGCTAGTACCGCGGGTAAAGGAACGAACGAATACCAACATCGCTCGAAAAGGTCTTTTTGAGTCTCAAATGAATCATCTGCAAGTTGCCAACGTCTTTTCGCGCAGTTCTCTTGTGAGGATGTAGTGTTTGGTGAATCCGGCCCTCCAGCTGGACAGTCGGGCGGCGGTAACCGAACTTTATCCCGCCCCGGCGAGAACGACGGAAATGTGGAGACACTACTAACCTCAACTTCCCCCTGCATGAGCTGACCTTCACTTCGTCATCTCTTCCACACACATATTCGCTGCCCATGTCATGATTTTCCTCTGTTCCACTTCCCACCATCGTTGATCTATCCATCAACCACTCTCATCAAGGTTTCGCATCGTCTACTTGCTAAAGGTCGTTTGTTCCCGCGGCCTTGTTCGGGAGCGGGTTTGTCCCGACGAAGAGCCTGGCTTTCTGGGCCACCGACTAGACCACAGCCAAGATTTTTAAACCACTGCAATCCAAATGGATGAGAAGAAACTATTGGATAAGAGGAAGGCGGGCGAAGGGAGGGCAGTCGAGGGGCCCCCCGGCGTCCTCGCGCAGATCCCCCTCGCGGCGACGACGCCGCTCGCCCAGCTTCGCATCATGATGCGGATGCTCCTCCCGCGGGCTGTGGAGCAGACGCTTTGGAGGGGGTTGGGGGTGGAGTGGGGACGGAAGTGCACGGCGCTGGAGAGGTTTCTGGGTGGTGAAGGTGGGAGGGTGGGCGTTGTGGTGTTTGCGGTGTTGGTGAATCATGTTCGGAGGATGGTGGTCAAGGGGAGTGTTGTGGGCGGGTTCGGGGGGGTTGTGCCAGGGGTGAAGATGGCGGTTGGGAGTCCGGATATCTTTCTGAAAGAAGAGGTTGAGAAGGGATGGGGGGGATGGGGGAAGGTAGTGGGAGATGTAGTGGGGATGGCGGCGGGGGATGTGCTGGTGAGGTTTGAGGAGAGAGGGAGGGTGAAGACGAGGAGGGAGATGAAGGAGGCGGTTGTTGCGGCTGTTGTTGTGGTTGTTTGGATGCTTGGAGCCGCGGAGTATGTCCATGCTAGGGTTGCGCATCTCGTTGCTGTGGTGATTGCGTATTGGAGGATGGTTAATGGCGGCGAGGTGTATTGGGAAGCGTTGTGGAGGGTCTTCTGTCCCGAGGGACCGTCGTTGATGGCTGTCATCAAGGAAGAAGGGTATGGTGCTGTGGGAAGGGCGTTTGTGCAGGGGTTCTGGGGCAATGAGCGCCGCCTTCGAATCCTCTTCTTCCACGTCGAGTTGGCGATGTATGCAGTCTACGGTGTCTACCCGTTGTTGAAGCTGGCGTCAATAAGAGCGCTTGGGATGACGTGGGTTCGGGGAACGGGGTGGAAGTGGGTTGGGATCAGTCCGTGGCTGGCGGTGCTGATTGCGGGGTGGGCCTGGGGAACGGCGTTTGTGGCGCGGTATTCGAATAAGTATTTTATCGGGCTGCAGATGTGTGATATGGTGTTGGTTGGGTGGTGGATCGTTGCGGTTGGGGGAGTGTTTGGGTGGGGGTTTGTGAAGCGGCGGGTTGGGAGGTTGACGGGGGTCAAGAGGGTTGGAGGTTGAGGACGTGGAGGAGATTCTGGCGTAGGTGTGAGTGTAGATTCTCATGGAGATAGAAAAGGATCTTAGAGCAGCAAAGAGATGATGAGGATAGGCCAACTCAACCACCCGGTTCCGGTCGGTATTGCGGTTTTCGATTCACCACCCCCAGATGATCCCGATCTTGCCTGTGGACTCAAATATCTGGAAAGACGTCCCTCTGAAGCCTCGAAACGTCCGCTGGTATTATTGCTCGAGTATTTGGGTTACTCGATGATAGAATACACGTCTCCCCGACATTGTCGTTTTGACTTGCTGTGATAGTTGGCTACCCAATGTTGGTGAGAGACCTCGTTCCGCTGCTTTGAAACTTGATACAGACAGCCACGATGAACACATTGCCGTTCGCGAGGAACTGTTCATTTTGGGAGTAGATATGAGCTAAATAGTAAGATGCTCTGGCGCCAAGGCGTCTTCGGCGATGGGGTGAAGGCGTTATGATCAAGAGCTTCGTAAGTATGAGCTCCATCCAAATATAATATAGGTAGTTGTGATGGATGCAGCACTTAGGATCGCGGCTGCGTTGAACTTGAAGTAGTGGCGGGTATATAACTGAGTCGTGGGATAATCCTTCTCTGCGCTGAAACCAGATCGAGGGCGATGAAAAACGTGATATTGATGATTTGTCGGAAACACAAACGATGTCTGTGCTATTACCTACCAATACAACCATACCCAGCGGAAGTGGTTACGGATAACTTGCTCACATGCCAGATTCTTGTCTCTGTTTCTTATGAAGTATTCCGTCATACTCGCAGAGAATAAGTATGACTTCAAGGCCGCCGCGACTCTTGAGATGGCGGGAGCGGATACCATCAGTCAAAGTGTTCAAGGGTGACACTTCCATAGGTCCTTAGAAGTCGGTCCTAAATCATGGGTTAACCGCCGCCACCACTCCGCATTCGGCCCTGGCCAGGAAGTCCCATTGCTTTAATGGGGTTTAAATGCCAAAAGCGTTTGGGTTAGGCTGGTTTCAGCGGGATGTTGAGGGCACTGCGAATATGCATTGTTTGAGGGGCTATGAGATCTGAGTTATGTACTGTGACCTCCTCACTAATTCACCACGTCCCCGATACAAACCCAATAATCGGGAATGTGAATGATTTGCAGGCTGTAGGGATCTCCCCATATCCCAGCGTTGACTTTGAAGTCTGCCCTCTATAGCTGACCAGTGCAGCACGGGACCGGGATGAATGCAGGGTCGGTTGAGATAGCTGCGTTTCCATGCCATCCTTCCTCTGTCTTAGTGTATTGGTAGGTTGGGAGGAGTGAAGAGTGTTAGAAGTTGAGGACACGTCATATATTAACAGTCTGATATATGCCTTTAAGTGCAGCCGTTTCGAGATTCATAAAAGGACGTCGTTTTCTGGGTCTAGCAGATGGGGACAGGCCAGTTCGGTGGGTAGCGTGAACCCTTTGGTATGACTGAAAGAGGTAATGCGTCGGTTGCCTCTTAATTCAAATTAATCCAGGAAAAAGGATCTCTTTTGAAGCCAAAAAAGATTCGTTGGGTGTTTTCCCTGGAGTATTTGTTTGACTTGACGGAGAAAGAACGCGTGCTTGGAACCATTAATCTGGAAGCCCTGATATGATGGTTTACTAGATCACCTGGGTTTATTAGAAGCCTTACTCTCCCTCCTGCCGGCCGCGATGGAGGTTCGGATAGAAATGAAGATCAGCTCCAATTCTTGAACCCGGAAGGTTCACTTCATCAAACCGACGCGGTTTAAGTACTAGGAGAATGCTAGCGGACATAGCCTCAGTGGAGATTTTCAAAGTAATGTAAGAATCTATCGACCATGGAAGACCAGGTTTTGAGTATATATTCGGTTTCAGTAGACTAATATGTCTCTTCTGCAGCAATGCAAGAGTAGACGGCCGTTTGGTCTGGATCTTTGGAGACTATTATGTTACTGGGTGTAGGAGTCCAGGCCTTGGACTCGTCTCGGTGCGATCAATGGTAATAGTGACTGGTATAAGGTCGACGGAGATGGGGCTCTTCGTCTCTATGATCCTTCCTCTTTGGTGTATTCTTGTAGCTTAGCAGTCTGGCACCCGTTCTTCGGCTTTTGTGGTTTGGACTGGCCGCCGACTTCAACTCCGACGACTAAGTCTTCTGTTGTTGCCTCTTTTTGGCAGAGTATTCAAATTTCCCACGTATTATAGGCCTGCTGAACGCGCATTATCGCCAAAGTTGGAAAGCCAAAGGTGCTGAACAATGGACTTGCTGGTTGGATTGCTCTATGGCATAGAGACATTTTCCCAGCTGGAAAGACAGAAATCCAACCACCTTCATTCCCTGCTTGCTGCGAAGTTGGCCATCACAACCATTCTGAGCCCTTATATAGGGGTACTTTTAAACCCGATGACTTGCCTACGAGGCTCTAGCTCCATGCGAACGTCGCAGTGTTCGAACACGCAAGATGCGTGATTGCCTGCTTTAAATTCAAGAATCAGACAGCAGCAAAGTCGTACTGGTTTGGAAAACAGGCAAGCAATGTGAATGCCATTCCAAAAGTCTCATATCACACAATGCAATGCTGTGTGTCAGCGTTGTTTACCCACCAGCCGTGCGTCTGATGGGGAGAACATGTTCTGCGGTGTTTCGATCGTGGTATATACATCCTCAATGTCGACTAGAGAGGACGATGAAGAAGGACCGACCTTGGTGCCCAGACTTCAGTAAGTTGTGCCTTGAGTTTACGATGACGGGATGAATCCAGATCTGACGGGATGAAAATCTTTCGGACTAGTCGTCACCATATCATCGGGTTTGTTCACTCATCTGTCAAGGCTGGCATCCTTGGCGTTGGTTGTTGATGAATACACGGGAGTTGGATATGCACTCGTGCACTCGCACATACTTTAACATCGAAACAACCCCCTGACTGTATGCTTGGGGCTGGCAACGGCGGCTGCTCATCAAAGCATAGACCCAGCTTATGCATCAATACCACAGCTTAGCCAGGCTCATTGTCTTTCGCTTGAAGGATATGAAATGGTTCAGGGTGCCCATTCTTATACGCGTATCCAGTCCAAATATGGAAGAACATCCAGCGGCCTGGGATGCTGCTGAAGATGCATAAAACGAACGCGGCACGATCCTAATCTGGCCGCGGCACAGCCGAATCAGATGACAGTTAATTTCGTTAGCAAGAGCATTATGATTTTCGGCATGGGCTGAATGCGCGTCAAAACGAATAACCTCCCGTCAGCGATGATCGGCCCAATAAGACTCGTTACGAAGTGATGTTTTGCATTTCTAGCGTACTATTTCCACCAATACAGCTAGGAAGAAGGACGATTATTTGATTCCACTGCAACGGCAGCAGCTCTAGGTGTCGTCAAGGGCTTCGTGGATGGATGGCTTTCAATCTTCCCTAGGCTGGTTGACATTCGGCACTAAGAACATCGTGCCGATTCCATCTGTCCGGATTCCCATTTGTTAAAGGAGTAAATTGACAAAGTTATCAATACATCTATTAAGGTTTCGTTTGCCATGCAGAGCAGCATCTCGAACTTCTGGATGTCTCACGGCACAAGATAGCCGCCGTGGAATATGTGACAGTGCGTTGGCAGCAGATTTGGTCTACTGTGAACTTTCTAGGGCTCTTTTGACAGGCGATGCTAGCAATTGGATGCAAGCCGCACCTAATCAACCATAAGCTACAACGCCTTAATCTTGAGATCTGATGAAGTTGACGGCGCAAAGTTGAGTAACTAACAATTCAAGTTTTGAAGATCAAGCTCTGACACGGAGAATGAAACTACCTGATCCATCATCTTTCATCTAGTGTATTGGCCAGTGATCGATCATGGATGATGACGGACAATGGGAATCTGGGGGGAAAGCCCTCGGTAATGCCACACCCATGTCTATCAATTGAACGTTGGAGTTGTGAGAGCCTGGCTATAGCTACACATGGTTCCGCAAACGGAGGAAAAATCCATTCAAACGACCTCCTTTGCAAAGATTATGTCTCTAAACTGCAGGTATGCAGATATAGCCTGTTTGATCGAAATGGCGGTGAATCTAAAAGAGACCTTTGACATTTGAACCCGACTGTCTGTGCTACAGGATGATTTTCTATGCAATCAATCGACTCTCTTCAAGGATTAGACGACAGGCGCTACGAACGAAGATCATGTCGCTGCAAGTCTTAAGGATCACTGCCTGATATGGTCGTCCATAATACTGAATATATCCATCATTTCCGCTATAGGATTATACAAGGCAGGTATACATGACGAGAACGTGATGGAAATTCATGGGGGGTGTGACTGTCCACATTAAGCCCCCAGTTCGATTGCGCCCCAAGAGTCACTATTAGACCAGTCTTGCATTCATACACCGACAGATGTCTATGATTAGAAAATCTGGTTTATATCACGGTTATTCCTTGCTTTGCTTATTTCTGAACATCGAATTGCCCTTTCTCAGTCGGGCCTGAACTTGATGAATCATCACCCACATAAGTGTGCAGGTTTGAAGTCAGGTTCCCGTGGCTTCACTCAAAGATTTTTTGTGCTTCTTGACAGCCTGTCGCATTAACTCGGCGTACATGCTAATGCAGACATGGCGGGTTGTACTTAGCAAGTACGTTCGACAGGTTTCCCCAATCGTGACTTGAGACTCCTGCATTAGATAATTCAAACAACAACGTGACCGGTCTTTCTTTACTGAGAGCTTGAAGGGGAATCAACTCACTTTGGTCCGAAAGTTGTAGTCGTAGCCGGTTTTTGAACACTTCATGGCTTTGCCAAGAACACGACTGGGCTATTTCCCACTTTCCGAGTCATGACGGAATCCAGTTGAAGCTGCGGCCCCATCTCGAGATTAGAAAAAAAAATAAAAAAAATCGAACGCCTGAATTGAGGCATACTTTCTAAAAGTCGCTCAGCCCAGCGGCTCCCAAGCCGCATCGGGTCGGCAAGCCACGCGCGAAGGACGCGTCCCGGCCCGCGGAGCTGTGGGATGCCGACTCGGGGGCTGGGAAACCCCGGAATACGAGAGGCCAATGGGATTTAAAGCGGGGCCCGGCGCGCGAACGCGGGGGCCTCGGGGGCCGGGATCATGCTGAACCTTTTTATATCTTGAGCTGAATCTCAGCCCTTTCCTGTCTAGTTCAGCTGATGTTGGACGTCGATGCGATCCCGTTTCCACACATCACCTTCACGATAGCTGCCTCAGTGTCCAAAGAGAGCAACACAGTACACTTCAGCGACTGCACGTTTGATCAGGTCATCCACCTCGCCAGTTTCAAATTCGCGAGGGAAAATCTCCCCGGTTACACAGGTTCCTGCGACGTGCACGGGCCACAATCTGACCACTCTCTCACCCCTCGGAAGCGGAACCAGGCCAGACCTGGTGTTGTCCCAAACTTTCACCTGACCGTTCCGAGTATCTGTCTTCAGAGGAACGGCTTCTGAGTTATTGGTTCCTGTCATTTCACTAATCAGCAAAACGCCCCTAAACTGCCGAATGAAGTTGCTGCCGAGAACCAAGCATGGCGATCATGGACGAAGATGGGTGCACCGACCATGACCCGCCATCACCAATTTCAGGGGAACTCGTCAGCTTCGACCCGAATGGCGACCTTTATTTACACGTTGGCGCGGGCGTTGAAGAGAAGACAAAGACTTACTTTGTGTGCTCAAAAGCGCTCGCCCGCGCGTCAACAGTGTTCAGAAAGATGCTCTACGGTGGCTTCGCTGAATCAGGGCACTTGGATGATGACCACGGATGGACGGTGGACTTGCCCGAGGATCGGCAACAGCCCATGGAGATGATGCTGAATATCGTTCACGGCGCTTTCGAAAAAGTGCCGGAGAAGATCGAACTGACGGAGTTGTACACGTTTCTTGTCGTCACGGAGAAATACGATGCGACTAATATTACGCGACCATGGGCAAAGGGTTGGATGGACGGTGTGAAGACGAGCATGCAAAACCCGCTGTTGCTCGGCGTAGCGTATGAGTTGGGAGACTACCAGACGTTCAACGCCATGGCGATGAAGATTGCTACCGAATGCCATTTGGATCATGAGGAGGACTTGGTGTTTGGGTTTGCGGGGGAGAACAGGGAGAGTTACACATACAAACTCAGGAATTTGGACTGCTTAATACCGGATGGGTTGCTTGGTAATTATCTCACGCATCACAAAGGGCCAAAAGCTGATATCATGCGCAGACGACGCCGCATCAATACGAAAGACTCTGCTCATCGCCATGCTGGACCCGTATCTCAACCTCTACGCCGCTCTGAAGGGTGGCGACCGATGCATGTCCTCGCCAGGAGATCCATCCGGCGGAAAGAGATGCGACAGCTTACTCTTGGGGTCTCTCATCAGATCCTTCGCCACGCAGAATCTGGACCTCACGGCGAATGATCCCGTCAAGGCATACCGCGGGAGTGCATCGCACCTTCAGTCGGTGATGCTGAAGCTGGAGCTGTACACAATCCACTCAGGCTACGCTCACCCGACCACTTCGTCATTCAGCTTTGGGCAGACCGCACCTTCCCGATTCGGATTCAGCATGAGCGCATGCGAGCACGTCCTACAGTCTGGGCTGCGGGAAGGAGTTGAGAGGTCGCTGATGCTGAGAGGGGACATGTCGTTTGCGCAGCCTAAGCATAAAGAGTATTTGACGAAACAGGCAAGCAAGACGGGCTTGCCAAAGTCATGAGGATATGAGATATTGGATTTGACAGCACTGTCTATGGGAAGGCTCGGCGTTGAAACATTTGCGTGGACACCTCGAGTTGCGAGTCCCGATTAACTCCTTCCGAGACCTTCCGTCTTCCTCTGCATTGGAAGGAGAGGCTCTTGCCTGCTCGTCTCTCTTCTTTGGGCTAGATTCTTTTATAAATAGACGCTCCCCATGCGCCTACCGGATTCAACTTAGAATATTTCACACTTTCTACAGGCTCTACAGCAAAAACAACCGTACTTCAATCTCCCGAAGCACAGCCTCATTATTTACAACCTTATCAATTGCAACCTTGACCTTCAACACCAATTGCGGAGACACTTTTCATCAATCGTCTCTTGCTCATCATCATGGATGACTCGGAGAATTCAATGAGTGAGCCTGACAAAAAGCGACCCAAGCTGGAAACAACAGGGCCCACCACGCCTGTCGTTCTTGAGGAGTTTGGAGATTTGCAACTCAGAGTTGGATCCGATCATACTGACCAGCCCACCATCTTCCTCGTCTGCTCCAGGACGGTAGCAAGATCGTCGCCGGTGCTGAAGAAAATGCTCTATGGGGGTTTCGCGGAGTCCTTAAGCGCCCAGGCAAAGAAGGAGAACTGGGTGGTCGACTTACCCGACGACAGACCTGACTCTTTCAAGATCTTTCTCCATGTCATACATGGTCACTTCGACCAAGTACCGTCGAGAATCGCAATTGACAATTTATACCTACTCCTGGTACTGCTTGACAAGTACGACAGCATCGATCTTATTCGCCCATGGGCAAAGCCCTGGCTCAAAGGTATCAAGACCTCGGAAAGCTTGCCATTGGCATCGTACATCGCATGGAACCTTGGCCACAAGGAGACTTTCCAATCAAAGATGACGAAAATCATCCACGCATCCTTCATCGACGAGCAAGGTAGCCTGTCGTATGAACAGAATTGCCGTTCGAAGGAAACCGGTGCATGGAGCGTACACGACATCAAGCTCGCAGCCGATCTGGACAATTGGGGCCCCTCAAACGCTCTAGGTGAGCGGAATCTCTCGTGGTAAATTGCAGATCAATCATACTAATTTGGAACACAGACACCATCCGTGAAATGCGCCACAAGTTGGTGAGCATTCAGTTTGAGCCGTACATTCAACTCTACAAATCCCTCATCTCCGAGCAGGGACTATGCCGCTACCGAGCTAGGGTGAAGCCCCATCTCCTGGAAGCCGGAATGAGATGTGACTCAGTAGCTCTGGGATCGATGATCAGGGAGTGCTTGCTCCAGGGCATTGATATCATGGCTCAAGACCCAGCGGAAGCTTACCGCGGGACTGTGCGTCAACTGGAGGACAAGCTCGCTGCATTGAAGATCCTTGTCGGAGAGAGCAACGACAAAACTGAGCATAGCATCTGCAGAAGAAATCTTACGAAATATCGGGACAACCTTTCCGCAAACAACGAACGAAGGAAAGCAAAGGCGCTTGTGCTGACACCTCATTACCAAGCTCGGATGGAGGCGCAAGCGAAGAAGACTGGCATTTACGATGCTTGTTGAATGCAACATCCTTGTCCCGGAATATCTTATTCATGGTTAACAGTCAATCAGGGTGAACATGATCGGCGAAGACGCAGCGAAAGCGTATCGGGAAATCGCGAAACGACCAAGAATCCATTCAGGAAAAGGGGAAACGCCTCCGTGAGGTTACGATGAGGGTCATTACCACAGGCCCCGCGAGAAACGCGTTCATGAGCAACTTGAGCTTTGAGAGCAGAATACTTTGGGGGTGGAAGGAAACAAGTTCTGCAAAGCGAAGGCGGAAAATTGGATTCGTTTGGAGGCCCCAGCCCGGAAAGCTGGATTTGACTATCCTCCGTGAGAGTCTCGTGAGGAGAACATAGGGAACATTGGCGTTGCATTGGGATTTCAACTTTCGCAATTTGGTTCTGCAGTTTGATTTGAAAAGACAGAGCATTTGGCTGTGCATGGCAGAGGCGGAGCAAACTCTTTCAGGCCGGAGAACACAAAGGCTCAGCAGCATAGATAGCGCCACAGAAATCTAAGAAACACTTACCACTAATATTAATCCTGGTTCTAACTCTACTGTTTACTTGAAGTTGTTGACTACACGTCATGTCAACTTCTACTCCTTTGCTGTGGGAAGCTCCTTCCGTCTGACCTCTTCTTCCTAAATTCTTTCTGGCAGGTGCCTGCCTCCTCGTAAGGCAGGCACGCTCCCGCCCTTCTGCTACGTCACGCACTTTCTCTCTCGGATTGTTCTTTCCGAATCTTGGAAGGGGGAAGTCGCTTTTCCTCCTTCCCTGCCACAAAATCTCCCACCTTCACACCCGAAAGACGACAACGACGAAAGAACAACAACCTCGCCATGGACGACGACGGACGATCTCGACCAGTGGTGATCGTAGATGACGACGAGCCGGCGGCCAAGCGCATTCGCCTCGACAAGGCAGTCATGCCAACGCCGACGCCGACGCCGACCACGACGTTCGACAGCAAAGGCGACTTGCACCTTGTTGTTGGCAGCGACGTCCGTGCCGGGGACCCGTCAACCTTCCTCGTCTGCTCAAGAACCCTGGCACGATCGTCTCCGGTATTCGAAAAGATGCTCTTCGGTCCCTTTGTCGAGTCCCGTCCGTCTCCCGAGTCGTCAAAGCAAGAGTCCGCCTGGGTCGTGCACCTTCCCGAAGACGATCCCAACCATTTGGGGGTCGTGTTGAATATTCTGCACTGCAATTTCAAGATGGTCCCACAAAACTTCTCCTCTCCCCTCCTCTCAGGCATGGTCGCCGTTGCGGATAAGTACGACTGCATCGAAATCTTTCGACCGTGGGTCAATTCCTGCATTCCCAGTCTCGACTATGACCACTTTCACAACCCGAAATTCGTCCTTCATATTGCATGGCATTTGGGGTGCATCGATACCTTCAGACAAGCATTGCTAGCCATCATTGAGCACTCGTTCATCTCCGAAATGGACGAGATCTTGATCTTCACAAGACCTCAGTCAACGGGATGGAGGCCTCCCTGGGAGGAGCCACAGGACCTTCACGAATACCTGGGCAACCTGGTCCCTGTGGAAGTTGTCGGTGAGTACCATGTTTGATCTATCCTATCTTCGATGTCGGCGCCTGTTTGATATCACTCTTTGTATCTATTCCAAACATACGCTAATTATGTATCTCGAGCAGATCAAATCAAGCATCATCGCGCCAAATTCGTCCAAAAGATGATAGAGCCTTTCATCAACCTACATGATGACCTCGTAAACGGCAAGCCCTGCTGTTCTATACCCGAGGACCAAGATGAGTGTGACGGCCTGCTACTTGGTCGCCTGGTTAGAAATTTCCGCTGGAGGGGCCTAGAACAGCCTACGAAAGACGCAGTCCAGCGATATAGCGGCAGCATTATCGATCTTGAGGATAACCTTGAGGGCATGAATCTCGTTACACTTCGTGGTCATAACGAATTCGCAGACTGCAACAAGAATCTTCAGAAGAGACGAATGGATATACGCAGGATTCCATGTATCGGTAGAAGAAGCGAGGCCGTCGTCCTTCTTCCTCAGCAAAAGGAACATTTGGGGCGGCAGGCAGTTAAGTCCGGATTGGTGTGAATTGGTTGGGGGTTTGTTGCCATGGGCGTTGAACAGCCGAGGTACCCGAGAGGAACTCGAGCTGCCAAATATAATTGGTTACCATCGCCATCTATTTGCATGCGTGGACCTGCATATCTGGGCCGATGCCTGGAATGTCGTCTGTCTCAAACATTACATAAGCGGTTTCCGGGTCTTACTACTTGTATCCAGGGATAACTGATCATGTTTGCCCCTCTCCCTCTCTACATTGACAGCAATTCGACGCCACGATGGGACATCACCGGGCCAAAAGAACGAAGCTTGACGACACTGTCGGACCTCAGACGATCACCGTGGAGGAGGATGGCGATCTGCATCTCGTCGTGGATGGGACGGGTCTGCCCGAACCCAAAACCTACGTTGTCTGTTCCAGGGCCCTTGCTCGCCATTCACCTGTTTTGAAGGCGATGCTTTTCGGTGCCTTTGCGGAGGCTCGTCGCCCCACAGACGGGAGCCAGTGGGTAGTCAAGGTATCAGAGGATAACCACAAGCAGTTCCCAGTCTTTCTCAGCATCGTCCATGGTTGTTTCCAGGATGTTCCGAAGGAGCTTGATATCCAAGACCTGGGCGCGTTGCTTGTCATTGTTGAAAAGTATGATGCTTTACCCATCATACGGCCATGGGTCAAAGGATGGTTGGAAACGTCCCGCAAGAGATGGTCTGAGGAAGGTTACTCCCCTCACCTGGTGTGCTATGCCTGGATGACCGGACATCGTGCGATCTTCGAGGAAGAAATGCGAAACGCGGTCTACGCTGAGAAGGTCGAGCCTGACTTTCAATTCTTTGATCCCGAGGCCTTGATCCCCCCGGATCTATTTGGTTAGTGTGGAACCCCCCTTGGCCGCAACGGTATCCTGACGAGTATATATCTGCAGAGTCTCTCAGGAAGCTCAGAGAAGAGATCCTCCGCACGATTATGAAACCATACCTTGACCTCTACCATGGACTCACATCCGGAGAGCCGCAGATGCGGATCAGGGACTTTGGGAAGTGTCCTGATTCCCGTTGCGAGAGTGCAATGCTAGGTTCCTTGATGCTTAGCTTTTGTCGCAGCGGCTTGGACCTCACGCAGAAGGAGTTCACATACCACAACGGGCTAGAGGATCTAAAGAAGAAGCTCGGAAAAGTGAAAATCCTGACAAACGAGAGAGATGAGTGCAGGTATTTTCTGTCTCAACGGAGAAATGAGAGTCTTCGAGATGAGGAACGATTGATGGCTGACGCTGATATTGTATGCCCTGAGCATTTACAACATCTCCAGAGACAAGCGGAAAAGACCGGCCTAGATGAAGGCGATCAGGCTAGTGGCGCCAGGGATGGACAAATTGAGGGCCTCAAGCCTCGTGGAATTCGAGTCTAACAGAATCACGCTTAAGGAACCTAACTGCCATTTACTACACCTTCATGGTAGCGAAAGTGCTTTGGGACTTTCAGAGAATGAGTCAAAATACATGGCTACCGTCGCGAATTATTGGCAAAAATACCCAGCTTCTATATCAAGGGATCCAAGTAATGCTCTGAAGACACGTGTAATGCGTGAAACCGCCCCACATAAAGTGTCGCGCAGCGACTCAGACTCATCAGGTGCTTTTTTTCAACTCAAACCTTGAACTTCGCAACCAGCAAACGCACCTCCAGCAACCACATCACTCGCTCACCGACGCTCAGTCGGCTAGAAAAAAACGCATCACAATGGGATCTACATCGGCTTCTCAGAGCGTGCCATTGACAGCAGAAAATGGATTTTATGACAGCGATGGCGACTTGATACTCCACGTCGGCCCAGAAATGGCACGATTCAGGGTGTGTTCCAAGACACTCGCACGATCATCTCCGGTCTTCAAAAGGATGCTGTATGGAAATTTCGCCGAATCGAAACCTTCAGTTGGCGCAAACTGGGTCGTCAGGCTACCCGAGGATGAGGCCAGGGCGATGGCAATATTTCTGAGCATCATCCACGGAAAATTCCACGTCACGCCGGAAGCATTGTCCGTCCGAGACCTTTACGATCTTCTAACGCTCACTGAGAAGTACGATGCCACCGCCCTTCTTAGGCCTTATGCACATCGATGGATCGATGCTGTTGGGTCCCAGATGGACGATCCGTATCTTTTGTGTGTGGCGTGGGAACTGGGTCACATTGAGCTCTTCGAGAAGATGATGGTCGCCATCACTCGAGACTGTACCGTTCATGAAGATGGCATGCTTCTATACGGAATACCGATGAATGAGCTCTCAAGCTGTACGTCAGATGAGACCGCGTATCCTGACCCAGACAAGAAGTCAGAGATGCCTTGCTCATTTGACGTGAATTCCGTGTCTCAGCGTGCCACGCATCTGGATAACTCCTGGACCTTCCCATTGGACTCGATCCTCCATCTGCAGCCAGAAAACATGATCGGTAAGCCGGACAGAAGCTATACCCATGGCAACCTTCGGACGCTAACAAAAGATGAATCAGAGACAATCAAGAAGAACCGTATGGTGCTAGTCCAGGAATACCTGAAGCCATATCTAATACTCTACGACGATCTGGCTAGGGGCAGATGCACTGTAGACTTGGGCCGCCGAGAACACTTGACATCAACTGAGGAGCACTCGGCATGCGACGCAATGGCCTTCGGGTCTCTTTTCAAAGCCTTCCAAAGCCTCGGTCACAACATCACGTTACCGGGCATTGCGCACAGGTATAACGGAAGTTTTACAGACCTGTTCTCTGCTCTACCTCGAGTAAGAATCTTATCACACCATTCCGATTGCTTGAAAAGCTTCGCTACTGGGTTGAGAGAGGGCGACCACAGAGCAGAGGAGAAGTGCAAAAGATTGGAGTTCATTACACCGAGCCAACTTCGTTATCTTAATAAGCAGGCTGTGAAGATGGGCTTTCCGACAAGGAATTCTGAAACGAAAGGGGAGAATGAGGCCATGGGCTTTCTGACGAGGAATTTTGATAGAAAAGCGGAAGAAGTGTTTTGGAGGCAGGCGAGGCGCGTGGATCAAGGCGCAGTGCTCTTGGGGGCTTGGGCAAGGGCAACAGTCTAATCCTTTTTGGTGGTAAGCATTGGGATGGTCATCCAGAAACGAGAAACGCCACATAGACATGCTTGAACGTAGTTGCAGATTTGAAAGATTCAGAAGCCGTATAGATTCTAGATAGAACTACAATGTCTGGGTAGACGATAAACTGTAGGACTCTCAAAAAGAATGTCTCGCCAGAGTACATTACAACGATGGAATGTCTCAAAAAGGTCTTTCATGGCTTTCTCAAGGCCTGTGACTGTGGATTCATCAAAGACATAGAAGTAGACCGAAAGTGAGTTTTGAAGTTTGCCTAGCGCTCTACGTTTGCCTGAAATGCTTTATATAAGTATCTAAGACTATGCCATTTTATTCAATCACCCATCATCCGAACTTAACTTTCAATTCCGGGGTCCAACATGGTCGGCCACTGCGCAACTCCCAAGATGACGACACCCACTGAAGTCAAAGTCTACGACAAGGATGGCGATCTGACCCTTCGCGTAGGACCCACGGAGACACTCTATCAAACCTGTTCTCGCAGCCTCGCTCGGAAATCGCCGGTTTTCGAGAGGATGCTCTTTGGCAATTTTGCAGAGTCTCGCCCCGCTGTTGGTGATTGGGTGGTCGACTTGCCTGAAGATGACACTCGAGCGATGGGGCTCTTTCTGGCAGTGGTTCATGCACAGTTCGATAAAATACCAAGACCCTTGCCGCTCGCAAGTTTATACGCACTGCTCACACTCACCAACAAGTACGACGCCAGCGCCATTGTACGAGGATTCGGGCGCTCGTGGATAGCCTCGCTGCAGAACTTTGTGCAGGATTATCGGCTGCTGGGAGTCGCTTGGGAACTCGGTGACTCAATAGTGTTTTCGAAGATGATGCGGGTGATGATCGACAATTCAGTCGTTGGCTCCGATGATCAGTTGCATTTTGATCACGGCCTTGGACCCCATCCATTTCCACTCGAAGATTTCATCCATCTGAGACCGACGAGACTCATTGGTATGTTAACAACAACTTCGTGTCACAGTTCAAAGCTGATCATACCCATCGCAGAGATGATTGCGGAGGGACGACAGTCCTTGATAGGAGTCGCGTTGCGGACGTTGACCACGGGCCTGCACATCCGTACGGGATCCTCAATATACGAATGCCGGTATCTGGTGCGACAACAGTCAGCAGAAAACCATCGCTGCTGCTGTACGATTCTGGGATCGTTGGTCAAGATCCTTGCGCATGAGGGATTGTCGCTCGAGGCCGTTTGCGGAGAGGATGCGTTCCGTCACAGCCCCAGAAAGTTTCGAAGAATACTGCAAGATCTTCGCTTCACACCCAGAGTGTGAGAAAGCTATCGCCAAGGTTTTGTGGGATGGGGCTATGCAAATGGATAAGGTCTGGAAGGAAAAAGTGGTCTTGATACGAGAGGATCAAAGTGAAGTTTTGATGAGACAGGCACAGAAGACAGGTTCCTATCTGGCATGGGGTAGCTACCTTAGATGAGCATGACAGCGGAGAAGGGGTTAAGGCAGGCAACCTCATCTCGACAAAATCACTCTGTAAGTTAGAGAGAGCATGATGGGAATGAATATTATTCAGCTACTTCGATTATATGCTCATGTCGTACATATCTTCATAACCCCACAACTCTTCTATCCCAAAGTTTCAGAGAAGGAAATATGATCAGACAAAGACTATTGTCCATAGACAACCAATGTGGCCAATCCTCCTCTTTCTACTGTCTAGGAAGTTTGCTAAGGTAGTCGCAATTAAGCGCTGGCACCGTTGAAGGAAACCAGGTTGGGGCTGCCGCTCAGGGTACCGGTGATGCGGCCGGTGGTGCCAAGGGCCTTGATGCGGTTGGTGACGGCAGCGGGGGTGGAGAGACCCTCGAGAGCCTGGAGGTAGACAGCGAGACCAGCAAGGTGGGGGGCAGCCATGGAGGTACCGCTGAGGGAGGCAGTGGCAGAGTTGCCGCCGATGTAGGAGGACAGGATGGAGACACCGGGTCCGAAGATGTCAACGCCAGCACCGTAGTTGGTGAAGGAAGCCGGGCGCCAGCTGGAGTCGATGGCGGCGACGGTCAGGGCGTTGGGGGCGTTGGCGGGGGACTGGCTGGAGACGGGGAGGGGGTTGCCGAAGTCGTCACCATTGCCAGCGGCCACGACGGAGAGGACACCCTGGTTGTAGGCGGCGTTGATGGCGGTGGTCCAGGTGGTGGTGGCGGGGCCGCCGAGGGACATGTTGATGACGGAGCGGGAAGCGCGGGACTTGGAGACGATGTCGTTCACAGCCCAGTTGAATCCGGAGAGAATAGCGGAGGTGGTGGACTCACGGCCCTCGAAGACCTTGACGGAGATGATGTTGGTCTGGGATTAGGTGTTAGTGAACGGGTCGAGACAGGGTGGGGTTCGCCCGCAATTGCGGGAGCGGGATGTCCCAGTTGATGAACCGCCGTGGGCTTAAGGCTCAACTCACCTGCTTGGCAACACCGTAGGTAGAGCCACCGATAGTACCGGCAACGTGGGTGCCGTGGCCGATGGAGTCGACGTGGGCGGAGGAGAAGACATTGTGGCCAAGAGTGGCACGGCCGCCAAACTGGCTGTGGGTGGAGAGAACACCAGAGTCGACGACGTAGGCGTAGGTGTTGGCACCGGCCGAGGTGTCGTAGACGTACTGGGTAGAGCCAGAGGTGCGGTGGGAGATGGTGCCGAGACCCCAGGTGGCGCCAGACTGGGTAGTCAAGGCGCGCTTGGGGTTAACCTCCTCAACGACGAAGTCGGAGAGGTACATGTAGTAGTCAGGCTCGACCAGAGCGACCTATGATGATGTTAGTCTGCTGCTCGTCCAGGATGAGACGATTAGCGGGAAGGCTTACCTCGGGGCTCTTCTTGATCTCCTCAATGGTGGCCTCATCGAACTCGCCAGAGTAAGCGTTCCAGTTGCTGATGTTGAACTTGTTCTCAACACCGACGGTGTCACGCTTGCCGAGGGAGCGGCGGTGGACATCGGCAACCCAGGTCAAGTGGGAGTCGACGTTGGCGGCAGCGTCCTCCTTGAGGGTGACGATGTACTTGCCAGGGGCGAACTTGGGCTCGTCGCGCTTGATAGCGGCGGGAGCGGCAAGGACGACGGGGAGCAGGGCTCCGACGGCGACGGCGAGGCGGCGGAAGTTGGTCATTTTGGCCGATGAGGGGAAACCTTAAGGATTAGATCAGGGAGGTGACTGAGCTTGAAGGATGAGGCTGAGGCTGAAGAACAAAAGCTGAGAAGATGGCGAGGAAGACGGCCATCTTTATACATGATTCTCACGATGCGTGAGTAGGAGGAGAAGGCATTGGATGTTGTCAATCCGACATCTCATTGCGCCTATCGGCGTGGTATCTTGCGTGATAGTTTGCCAAGTCTATGGTCTCCAGCTAGAAGTTGTCAAGCTTCCTAAACTGGACCTAGATCGTGGTGATGGAGCAAGGAAGGTTGTGGGCTCCGTGAGCTGTATACGAGAGCGAGTTGTCTGCAGGTGGGAACTGTTGCCTCCGAAGGCTGAAAAGCAATTGACACACTTATCCGCAGTTGCAAGGGGTAAGCGTGCATCATTGGTACCAATGCCAGCAGTTAATCTATCCATAAGCTTGGTTCTTCCGCTGATGCGCGGAAACCAGCTCCGCAGTTCAAGAAAGCCAAGCGGGAAGCATGCCGGGCATTGACCATACTCTATCATTTTCAATATTTTGAATAAACGTCCGATCTAGCTCCACAAAGCAATTCCGCACTGGAGGGGGCCTTCAAGAGGCTTAGAAGGGACCGCTGTGCCATTGAATGGGACATTCAAGCGTGTCGATTCATGGTTTGTTGCACTGGCTTCTTGGCAAACAAGTCATCCTCGATTTGGCTGACAGCAGACCGTTGGACGTTGCCTTAGTTGAGGAGCCTTAACACACCCAATTATGCTTAAAATGGAAGGTCGCGTAGGGCATTGGCCAGAGCCGATGTAGGCGGACCAGCACTTAATTAAAGGTGGCGCGAACCCACATCTTTCCCGCCTGCCAATTCCGTAGTGATATCCGAGAAAATCGGGGATTGAATAAACTCCAAATGGAGACGGGAGATCCCCAGACGGGCCAATTGCCGGCCAAGGCGCTCACCGTCGTCCGCATCCGAAAGAAAAGGGTGCCCCGATTTGTCTTGGCCCTGGAAGCGCAGGTACCGCAAGGGGCAATTGGACAGCTGAATGATGTGTCTGGAGGCGAAGACACGGCACAGCTGACGGCGCAGTTGAGATGAAGGAGCATTACATGAAGGAGGGTGAGTGGTCTGGGGAAATCGGGACGCGCTGTTGATGCGTGGAAGGATTGGCATCCAGGCACAGCGGCAATTGGTTTTCTGTCAGTTAGATACTCGTATTCATCATGTTTTTACTCGAACGCATGTTGCTGCGGCTGTTTGTACAGATTTGAGCGTCCATGCAGCCATCAAGGTCAGATTTCCCATGCGAAACTCATGACCAACCTGCTTATGACGATATCGAGCTTCCTGAATAGTCATTCGAGTCACCGTCGCATGTTCGTTCTCGCACATCGCTTTTCCGCGCTGAACTGTGGAGTTGTATTTCGGATTTACCATTCCGATTCAGGCTGTTCGAACATATGCCAATCGATCCTCGTGCAGCCCGATATGATGCCATGAACTCTTCGCCCGAGCTGACCCAGTCAACTGCGAGTGACGCAAACTCCCTTGTAGATGGCAGATAGGCTTGTGGGGTTCCGCCAAGCCGCCACGAGGGGAGCTCGGATGTCTTGGGCAACTGCCGTCAAGCGATAGGGGGGCCGTCGCGAAGCCAAGGAACAAGCTTCAGAGAGACAGGGACGGGGCGAATTCGAGTAACCGGCCAGAGACAGGCTTCGGGGAGGCTTAATTGGGGGACTGGAGAACGGCGGAGTCCGGGCCCGGCCGGTCGCGTGACTCGCGCACCGATATCACGAAAAGGCGAACTCCAGCTTGGCGGGAGTTCACGAATTGGATTGGTTTTGGTCATTGGGCTGTGCTTCGTGGGGAAATTTCAAGGTTGAACATCCTGCTGCAAGGAGTCGGGAGGGAGCCGCCGATGGCGGCGGCAGTCAAATACAGTAGGTCCTTCAGGACTGAGACCGAAGAAGGAAAATAAGGGGGGAGGCGTCCTTCGTGCCGCACGCCTGCTTGAGAATGACGGATCAAGTGGATGAGTGCCCTCAGCAGACTGAGCGAGAAGAGATCGCAGCGATTCTGGGGCCGAGCCGATGGGGAAGGGATTAGGAAGGAGATAAAGAATCCCGGCATGTCTCGCAGGCCGAGGTTTGCGGGAGAGGAAATGTGCGCCGTGCTTGGCGGCAGGGTTAGCTGAGAAGGAATCGGTGAGTGCGATTGCGCAATTTGTTGTGCATGTCATCTTGTCCTACGATCTCACTTGTCAGCAGGAAGAAGATGACTCTCAACTGAAGTCCTTCCTTTTGATATTTGAGCTCGACTGTTTTTAGGTTCTGGGAGACGCGAGGGAAAGGGGAAATTCCCAGCATGTGAAGGCTCCAGCGTCTCCATTCAGTCGTATTGCCAAGACTTCAACTCGGTGGGGCAGATAGGAACACATCCCGACTTGGCACCGAGGTTCTCGTATCCGCAGGACGAACTTTGTTGGCACGTGAGGCAGAATCATGACTCCGGGTCGTGTGTTGTTGATTTTGAACATGAGGCTCTGCGTAAAGTCGTCGCGAGGGCTTCTGATGCAGGCCAGAGGTAGTTGAAATGAGAATCCGGGGGGTTACAGTGCTTTAGTGAGCCTGGGGAGATGTACACTGCGTGGCAGGATGCGGAATCATCCTAGGAAGGCCAATGATATCAACCGGATAGGCCCAAAGATGCATAGCGACGATAGTTGCTGCTTTAGAATTCGTGGGGGTTCGCTTGTGATGGAAAACGGGAGGATATGCACGTTGGTAGCTGCTAAATTCTGTGCTGTAACGCAACCTCCGGGATGTGGGCGATGCCACGATTTGTACGTGTGTGTCTGCTCAAGGCACAAGTGCGTAATGCCGGCCAAATCTACTGCATCATGGTGTACATAGTCATTTTGATAAGAAGAGAAGTGGTCGTTTTTATCAGTTGCCTTCGAGGTTTTGCTATCCATGCACGATTTCCTTTGTCACATTCCTCTGCCTTCATCATGTGATTGATTGATGTCCCGCCACGCTACATCAAAACCCTTAATGAAAAATTTTAATTCAACTGCGGATGTACTGTTTTGTCAATGAAGGATATATAAATGCTTTATTTTATTGCGATAAGCGCGGATCACTATCTTCGGCCTAGTATTGCTGGAGGACAACCTCGAGGCCAACCCAAAGCCATGCACCACAATGATTCCACCGAGTTTTGCAGGGTTTTGCGAGAACATTAGGTGTCAGTTCGACGCGATTGATGTAGGAAACGTTTGAAGCGTCTCTCATGTTCAGTCCCTTAATTAAAACAGACGAGCTGCTTCGATGAACAGCAATCATGCCAAATATTCAATCAACTTGGCCACAGACAACTTGTACAGAAGACATACTGAACTTGGCATTGGATGGTCTTACATTGCTCACATAGCTCATATAGCAGTCAAGCTTCGATCATTTTCATATTGACTATCAGCCTCCATCCCATCAATCCCGCCCGAGACGTACAACAATTCCCATCTGTGACATCTTCAATGCTGCACGCATCAGATCTATCGATAGTTGATCACCATGATATTCGTATATCTAAACTCATCAACAACTAGAACAACTATTCACAGTGTTACAGGAGAGGCCAATAGAACAGACCTACAACTATTAGTGAGACAAGCTGTATCCAAGAGATAATCCAATTATGCGCTGAATACGGAGTAACCCGTGTCCCGTGTAAGCCCTAGTCTTGTTGTGCATTCATACCCAGCATTGATCCAAGAGCAAATTTGGGGGTGTTCGTTATTGACGCAAACGATGTGACGCTCATTTGAAGTGTTCGCCAGCCTTAGAACGCCCTTATGGGTACCACCAGAGGGGCGTCCATACCATAAGTTTCCACCAACAGAGTCATATTTGCCGTCGAACTCAACTCGACAGTACCGTATACGAGTTTCAAGAATAATGCCAGAAGGGGGTGTTTCAGCACAGTTCGATGCGGCGGCGGTGACTTGCAGCATTGTCGCTAGAATGGAATTCACAACAGAGGTTTTGATTATCAAAGGAGGCCGAGCCTGACGGTGATTGATAAGTACGGAATTTCAATAGGGTTCCAATAGCATAGCGGCACAATACATGAACGAATATCGGATAAAGTTATTTCAGAGACAGTAGAAGGGTAGTATTAGCTGTCGCAAGCCCGCGGGAAGCGACGAATGTATGAAACTATTGCGCTTGAGCGTTCTGATTTGCCTGAGTGTTATGGATTGTTATGATGATGAATATTTCTTCCCTTCTAACTTTTTCTTCGCCGTTTGCCGCCTTATGATGATGGTCTCATTGCTACGAGGTGAGAGCAGCCAACGGCACCACAACGCCATTTCTTCGGAAATGGCGAGTCTGTCGCGTACATCTCCCTTTATGCTCGGTGCCGTAACTTTAGACGGCATCAAATAATCATTAGATGTCAACATGAAATCAGCGAGGTCGTGTGCCTTGAGATGGACTCTCACATCGTGCGCTGTATCTAGAGCGAGTATGGCGACAATGGATCCGTGATGAAGATTTCAACGGCCGAGCTAGATCATCATGAGCCAGGCCTCCACTCGGGTGCAACCGAGCAGCTCCTTTTTCAGACAAAAGCCAACAGCAGGCTAGAGAAAAGGCCTAATAGATGAGGTAGGGTAGTGATATATCAGCCCATTTCCATTTACATGTGTTCGATCCCCCGTTTGTCATCCTTCGGCAACCAAGGCCGAGCATAAGTGAACTCCATCCAGACTTCGCATCGCGTAGCCTGCCAAGACACCTTGTCCTAGTATGGCTCTGAGTGCATCGCGTTTCAGGTCGGCATATTTTCTTGATTGTCGGAGATAAGATTTTTGCTTGCTGTTTCTACTGAGTTTTGTGTCTATGCTTCATTCATTGAATTAAAACAGCCGATTATTCAACTACGCCAAATTTGCCCGCAGAAGCCGTAACCCTCACAACGGAAAGCTTCCAAACCAGCGTTGTGTATATACGTTCAGATGCAAATTCCTTTATCGCAGTCCTGTGGCAAAATTAGCATTTCAATTTGGCAGTGAAAGGGTCTAATTCGATTGACTAACTGCACGGCTATTGGCTTTGCAGGTCTGTGATATGTTAGTTCTCGAGTGACTGGTAGTTGGATTGAGCAACTCACGCAACGACCGCCTCCAGGTGGAGATGTGCAGCAAACCTCACGTGCAGCCAAAACAGGATGAGGCGCCGTTTGCACGACCTTTGACGGCAACTCTGCGGCTAATGTGACCGCCAAAGAAGCAAGCACAACTAGGTATGCGTTGATTTGCATGATGATAGGGGGATAGGAGATGCGTGGCTGATTCAATCAGAAAGTGACGCAGTGGATATAATCTGGCACTTTGTATTTACATGCTGGCCCGGTTGCTTTATACTTACTCATGCGACGGAGGGACAGCAGCCCTGACCCAAGGTCACAAACGGGTGCCTAGTCATGCTTATCCCATCGGCTGCTACATAACTGTGACAGCCGATGGGATAAGACAGCCATTGAGTCTTAAGTCTCAACAAGTCTCTTTATTATGTTCGCTTTTAAAGTTTTCGTTTCATAACAGGTTACTGTCTGGCGTTGCAGTGTTTGAAGCACTCGTATGCTTCAGGTAGCTAGTCGCGGCACCTGACGCCAATCTAGGTAGAATTGTAGCCTCAGAACATCTATACTGAGTTTATTATTCTCTACAGCCTTATGAGATAAGGCTCAATAGTAGGATGAAAGAAAGTCTTTTGGTTCGTTGTTCGTACGCTGTCCATGCGACTCGTAGCACCTTTTCTTCTTCCCATTCAACTGCAAGATGACAGCGCAAAACTTAGAATGTTATTCTGCGATAGAATGCAACTGAATATTTAACATGCTTTAAATCTCCCTTTGATCGACCTGAGCATACAACTTGACATGAACTCTATAAGTGTCTTCATTCCGCTGCAATAATGGCGATGCTGAGTTCTGCGATAACAAAACTGTAAGCGCGACTCTACGCGTGCTTCGACGCAACTGATGAGCTTATGTACGGAATGTCTGCGGTACTTCTTAATCAGTTTGGAAGTTAGGGCTGGTATGCTGATAGATTCGTACGCGATTCATGGCTTTGTGAATTGCCGAATTCCATCAATAGCACATCTTTACAGAGTCTTTAGTATACGGGCTTACTCATTAAAAAGGTATGCCCAGTAATTTGCGTTATTTTCATCAACCAGAATATTAATTGCATTGCTAAATGCTCGCGCCAGAGGTTGACTGAAAAGGAAATATCCCGTCGCGAATTGCGATCCTTTGGTACTCAGCAGGCAAGAAACGATAGCTTCTTTGCGCCTCACGCTGTTCAACATTGCCTTCAGTACATTCTATAATCATATAGTATGGTGCCGCTGTGTTGCAAGAGACAAGCGTTGTAGTGCAACTGAAACCTTGGTCCTCAATGCGATATAGGCGCGGCATATGGCTATCTCAAGTTTTGGGTTGGGCTTGAATGATTGTCGTGATCATGTGTCGACGAAATGTTACACCACTCCAAGGCTGTAGTTAGGACTTGGCAATCCGGAAAAAGGACTCATGATTCGCCAGATTTAATTATTGAGTAAGCCTGCAAGGCTGGTTGGTGGCTGACCGATATTTGATGTCGTGTCATCTCGCGCTTTTCTACCCCTCATTTGCTGCCTCACCTTCCAGCAAATATGTACCAGCCAGCTAGTCTTCCCTAATGTACGTATCAAAACTACTAATATGAAGCCGCTCATCCATCCAGGGTGCGTTATTACTTGTTGCTGACGCAGGTGATGCGTAGATAGCCTTGGAACGAGTTCTCTCTTCTGCGACCAAGACCCGTGCGGTGTCCCTTTCCGACCGGGGATCTCGATGTGCCCGAACCAAGCACAACAGACTTTGTAATTACTCGACGACTGCAAGATGTCAAAAAGGCTGAGCCACGACGACTATAAGGTTGGATGGATTTGTCCACTCCAGATTGAACAAATCGCCGCTATGGAAATGCTGGATGAGGAGCACGCTAGTCTCCCACAGTCGCCTGCGGATCATAATGTTTATAGTCTTGGCAGGATTGCTGAACATAACGTGGTGATTGCTGGATTACACGGTCCAGGTAATAACTCCGCGGCGACAGTCATCACCCAAATGAGGATGACTTTCCGAAACCTACGATACGGGCTGCTTGTCGGAATCGGTGGCGGGGTTCCTGTTGAGACAGAAGAAGGTAGAATACGGCTCGGGCACGTCGTCATTAGTAGGCCGACTGGGACATCTTCCGGTGCAGTGCAGTATGACCACGGAAAAGCAAGAGACGGGAAATTCGAGCGAACAGGTGCACTCGCACCACCACCAACAGCTCTACTGAATGCTGTACGAGCTTTAGAAGTACGGCGAGCTCGAGCAGCCAACGATTTTGTGGCGAAGGATATCAAAAGAATCGACACAAGTCTTCGAAAGCTCCGCTGCTTTAGTTTTCCAGGCATTCCAAACGATCGTCTCTACCAACCTGGATACTTGCACAATCTACCCGGGGCGTCATGCAGTGAAAGCGGGTGTGATGACGCTTACCGCATAGAAAGAGCAAGTGACGATGACGGCACATATGTTAATGTTCATGCAGGGACGATAGCATCTGGAGAGCTTGTGGTCAAGGACGCTCAGCTAAGGGACCTGCTGGCTAAGGACTATGGCGTTCTGTGTTTCGAAATGGAAGCAGCCGGTGCTCTAGTAGATTTCCCTTGTCTGGTAATACGAGGGATATCGGACTATTGTGACTCGCATAAAAACGATGATTGGCATGGTTACGCGGCGGCGGCGGCAGCAGCTTACGCGCGACAACTGTTCATGTTCATGCCCGTCGATGACGTTCCAGCGTAAGGTCGCTATCTCTTTGTACTAAGCAGTGAGCTTGACCAACGATTTGTGTGACTGACAAGATAGTGCTCAGAGGGGAGAACACAGATAGGCGTTTCATCGTCGACAGATTTACTCTGACCTTGGACGTGTCAGAGATCTTCGAAGTCAATCGGTTTATAGCAAGAGAAAGGGAGCTCAAGCGATTGCACGAGATACTTGGGGGCACTTTTGGGCAGCGCCGCACCGCTGTCCTACAAGGACTGGGTGGCATTGGGAAGACCCAGCTGTCGGCAGCCTATATTCGACGTTTCAGAAAGCATTACACGGCAGTTCTGTGGTTGAATGCCAGGGATGAGGATTCCTTGCGGAGAAGCTTGACTCGAGTTGCAAAGCGTATCCTACAACAGCATCCATTTGTTTCTTATATCAAGAACGCTCAGGATTTCGCCACCGTCATTGAAGGCGTTAAAAGATGGTTAGACGAGTCCGGAAATGAGCATTGGCTTGCCATATACGATAACTACGACGATGTGGATTTTGGAGTTTGGGATCCTCAGCAGACGGACTCATCCACCAGAAAAGGCCAGAGAGCTTATGACATTCGCAGGTTCCTCCCCAATGTAGATCAGGGTGCTGTCATTATTACTACCCGGTCTACACTGGTCAAAATCGGCGAGTGCATTCATTTGCGGAAGTTGGGCAGCGTTGATGACAGCATGGCGATATTGTCATCCATGTCAAATCGTCCAGGCCTGGAACACGGTAATCCTAATGTCTCAATTACTTGACGTATAGGCGCTGAGATTATGATCAGATCCTTCTGCTATAGAGCTAGCGAACCGACTCGATGGTCTTCCTTTGGCACTGGCAACAGCTGGGGCTTATTTGGACCAAGTAACAACAACTTGCCGCGAATATCTTCGGCTTTATGAAACTTCATGGCTACGATTGCAACAGGCAAGCCCGATGCTACCTCAATATGACCGAGCAATGTACTCTACATGGAATATTTCGTATAACCATGTAGAGCACCAAAACAAAACCTCAGCCTTGCTCCTTCGCGCCTGGGCTTACTTCGACAAAGAAGATTTGTGGTACGAACTATTGAAAGCAGGCAGTAGCCGCGGGCCAAAATGGCTACGCGACCTTACAGAAGACAAATTAGCTTTCGACACCGGGATGAGAATACTGTTTAGCCATGACTTCGTCGAGGCGGGTCCCCCAATAAATGAGACCGGCCAACAATCTCAGGGCTACAGTGTTCATGAATGCGTCCACGAGTGGATGAAGAATGCGCTAAATGACGGAGCAGACAATTCAATGGCCCGAACAGCGATGGTGTGCGTCGCGTCTCACATCCACGAGGAAAGCGAACGAGAATCGTGGTGGCTGCAACGCCGCTTGCTCCAACACACAAACAGATGCAGGGAGTTAATCGATACGGTGGAATTAGAGTTCGACGACGAGTGGATTTTGATGGCGGTCGGCAATCTATACACGCATCAGAATCGACTCGATGAAGCCAAAGACATGTATTCACGGGCACTTACGACCCGAACGAAAGTATTAGGGGCAGAGCACCAGCTGACGCTCGATTGCTTGCATGGCCTGGGCAATCTTTATTTGAAGCAAGGCAAACTCACAAAGGCCGAACGAATGTACAAGGACTTATTGACAGGCAGAGAAAAGGGTCTAAGCGCAGATGATGATCTTTTACTGGATGCTTTGCATTGTCTTGGCTATGTATATGCCCTTCAGGGTGAACATGCCAAAGCTGAGTACTTTTATGACCGAGCCCTAGCAGGATATCGGAAAGGTGGCATAATAGATGGAGACATGTCAAACGAAACTTTCGGCAACATCCAGAGTCTCGGGAATTGCGAAAACCAGTACGCTAAGAGGGAGCGCAAAATCAGGGCGGCACTCAAGCTTATTGGGAATCTTGGGACCCTTTACGAAGCGCAGAATCGTCCGAGAGCTGCGGAGTGGATGTTCAAGCAGGCTATGCGTGGGTATGAGCAGTTGGTCGGGTGTGATGATCCATTGACACTTAGTGTTGTCAACAACCTAGGTCTTTTCTACAAGAACGTGGGACAATTTCAAGAGGCAGAGACCATGTATGAAAAGGCACTGCAAGGGTACGAGAGGTCATTGGGATCCGTGGCAGTGAAAACTTTTGTTCCCGCCTTGACTACTCTGAGTAATTTGGGTCGCCTGTATGAAAGGTTGGGCAGAGTAGAGGAAGCCATGGACCACTACATGCGAGCTCAAGATGGCATTCTTACTGCTCAAGGACCAGATTGCGGTCCTTACCGTCTCTTGTCAGACTGGATATCATCCTTGGAGGCTTCCAGGTAGTTCAACCCAAAGGTTTGGTACAGCATCGCTCGAGCCATACGCCCTGAAGCATGATGTTTCAAGGCAAAAGAACTGCTTACCTGGTGTTGCATTCAGCATTCGTTTTTGTTTTTGCAAAAGCACAAGCACGGTGACCTGGAAACACTCCATATTCAGATGACAGGCGTGATTTCCTTCATGTCGCTCTTGGCATGGATGGGCCCCATTCCAATTATACTCCGGGGATATCACCGATTCTAATCTCTGGCTTTCCAATCCAATATGTCACGTCGATAGCCTTGAGGATTCCAAGTAACCAAAGGAACATGGCCAAGCAATACCCGTCAAACTCCCTTGCCCCTGTGAATCAAGTAAAACAGAATTGCATAGCCAAGCAGTTCCGCCGGAACAATGACCGTTGATTCCGTTACCCGGCGAGTGCCTTCCCAATCCGTCCCGGCAATCCCGCCGGCACGGCATACGTTCCAGCCCTCTTCCTAACCAGTGGAGATCAGACACATTCCCAAGCCGCTTACTCACCTAGCACACCCGCATGACCCTGGAAAACCATTCGCCCTTCTCGGCAATCTCACATTTGCCATCTCACATAGCTGATCCCAAAACAATAGGGGTGGGGATCAGATAACGTCAAGCGTGGGACATTCGCCGCAAAATGCCTGAAAATGCGGGGGAAATATGGGGAGAACGGGGAGAATTCCAAGCCACACCTGTCAGAGCTATCCCGATTAGGCAACTATTCGCCGGGTGAGAGGCGGATGCTGTCCTTTTACCCCGCGGATTACTTTTCTCTTCAAGGAGATTCGTGGACCGCGCCCTATGGCCAAGAAAGGCACGCGGCGTCAATTTTGGGCGGGAATCGCTATTCTTGAAATCGCCGGATGTCGATGCCCGGCAGCTGGTGTGATACTTATTTAAAGGGTCCTCTCACGATGGGTTGATCGGGGTCACTTGTCTCTGTCCAAGGTTCTTTGTTCTCATCAGCGCTCACAATTTACTTGCCTGCTGTTCTCCCAGAATATCTAACGATACGCCACCCTTCATTGCAAAAAAAAACTATTGTTGAACGTCCACAAGCGCATAGCAGCAAATACGCACCATGCCACACGCAGAGTCTCCCACGCCAGCCGGCCCTCCCACAATCGCCGGCGTACAACTCCACGTCAACGACGACCTCCTCTCACCCAATGAAGTAGAGCAGCTCATCCCCTCATACCCAACAGAAGACCTCGAGGTTCTCCGTAAACGCTATCGTGAAAATGGCTACCTTCTTGTGAAGGGCATCCTTCCTCGTGAGGACGTCCTCGCCGCTCGCGAAGCCTACTTCAAGTCCCTCGAGCCATCAGGCGTTATCAAGCCTGGCACATCCCCACGCGACGGCATATTTGACGATGCGAAATCACCCGCCGACTACCCAGGCATCGGCGCCGGCAGCGTGAAGAATTCTCGGCCCGGAGAGACGGACCGGTCCGCAATCTTCGCCGACCAGGCCTTGAAGGCACACACGGAAGACTGGTATGCGGGGTCCGAAGACGGAAAGGTGCAGGGCTTCTGCAACCACCCTGCCCTACGCGACTTTGTGGCCAAGTTTACGGGTTGGGGCGACAACACACTCCCTGTCAAGAGGTCGCTCTTAAGGAACAACACCCCCGGGAATAAAGCCATCGGAGTCCACTACGACCAGTCCTTCATGCGCTACGGCGAACCAACCTCCGTTACTGCGTGGGTTCCCATGGGCGACGTCCGGCTCCAGGGCGGAGGTCTGATTTACATGCAAGACGGCGAGAAGCTAGGCGAGGAGATTGAGAACGAGTTCACGGCCCAGGCCAAGGCGAAGGGCATGAGTGACGAGGAGACGAGGAATGCCTTCAATGCGAACATGATGACCACAGGATTCCTTTGCGATGGACCTGCGGATTTTGGGCGGAGGTATGGGAAGAAATGGCTTGTCTCTGCTTACGATGCTGGTGATGTTGTTTTTCACACGGCGCACATGGTTAGTCGGCTTGTAGCACTCATGTCACCTCATCATCTGCTGACCAAAGCTTCTGATTCACGCCTCAACGAAGAACTTTGACCCTGAAGGGCGTATTAGACTCGGCACAGATCTCCGATTTGTCGACAAGAGTCGTCCTTGGGACACGGTGAGTTCTTCCATTCGGCCCTTCGCTATGAGCTGGTGCTAACGAGAAACAGCGCTGGGACAAGCACTACAGCTTCAATGACGGTATTTGATCCGTCAAGGTAGTACGAAATTGTGAAGAAAGGAAGCTCTGCATGTGTGTCACTGTCTTGTCGGGGTGATGCCACGACCAAATTGCATAGCCACGGGGATGAATTTGAATCATTTTGATTAACTAGAAGCTGTCAAGCTCGGCCCATTGCTCTTTCAACGTCTTGACCAACGCCCCCGTTTTCCATTGCACGATATTCCTTACCTGTGCTAAGTACTTTATCGTGTGTTCCCTCTCTAGCGGATGTCGTATGAGGTGTCCGCCTGCACCGTTGTCAGCATGTCATAGCAACCTGCGATGACTCGCACTAGTCAGACTTACAGAGAGACAACATGTGCGCTGGGAGATAATACGCATTCACAGCCTCGTTTGAAAGTGCCAACCCCATTAGTATACACAAGTAAAATGTTATCTCGCGCTGGAGATTTTCGAAAGTCAGCTTGAAGATCTTGCCAGACGTGCAGCACATGTGGCTTACCTCGCTGTCCAACCGCTTCTTCGTGCCCTCGAAACCGACCATTGAGTTTGAGCTGTTGTAGTCTTGAAACCTGAAAATGGCTTTTGAGGCATAGTAGTATCCCAACCCAACGGTTGCTAAAACGCCAACATCAGTGATCGTTCTCATCGTCAAATGTTTTTCCCGCAGGTCTCGTGATCAGGGCCCCAGCATGCACTCACCTGGACATGCACTCATCCACAACACCGGAAACGGCTTCCCCCTCGCCAGATCCGGCCGGTCATAGAACAACGGGCGAAATGACACCGGCTTGTCCCGATACCAAGCCTCGACTTCACCCTGAAGCTCCTCCCAGGCGGCGTTGCTGCTTGCTAGAAACCCCGTGCCATCATCGGGGAAGAAGAGCTTCAACACCTTCGCGAACAGGTATACTATCCGATTCGCGTGCGCCGTGTCATCGTTCATTCTAAACGTGGAAGACCTCTCAAAGTTCTCCAGGCAGATCTCGATCGGCGTTCGGCGGACCAAGAAGACATATAGTGCCTGCCTTAAATGCACCCAGCTTGCCGCCTCAGCAAGCCCGCCTTGCGTGACGAACCTTGCAATCGCGTCATGATTTAGCAGGTTTCGGGTACCTCGTAGATGATGGTAGTGTGAGTCCGTCTCGTTGTCGTACTCCTCATACAGACGCATGATGACGACCGCCGTCAACAGGGTAGAGTCCCACGTCTCTGGCGGTTGTGAGAAGGCTTCAATGAGCAGCTCAATGCATCGGTTGTGGTAGTAGGTGCTCTCGAGATCAGTCTTTTCGGCGTTGTCGTCAGCTTGTGTATCAAACCGGCTCGCGAGGGCGAAAATGCCGTTCAGGAGGATCGGTGTGCTGAGAGCTAGGCGAGGGACGTCGAGGGTGAACGGGCGGGCATCGTGACATGCATCAATCTGTGCACTGAGATCAGACCGGGGTGATTAATCATCAAAGGATAGGTAAGTGAAGCCTACCGAAGGAGCTATTCTCATAATGTATGTGCGGAACAGATACGCCTGACGTCCGGTAAAGCCGCAGTGTTCGGGATCCGTGGGCTGTGGTCGCACCTCGGCATCTGATATGAGACTCTCAGTCCGCTCTCGCGGCGCTGATCCGCCCTGAGTCGACGGAGAGTCCCCTAAGAGATACGATATCTGAAGCTGGGGCTGGACCTCTCCAGGATTCCATCCCCCAGACTCGGAAGCCAGGCCATCGCGGATGGAATCTAGATAGCCCGGGCTAGAAGCAAAGCTTGATCGGTGTGGAGGCTCAGCCGGCGGGCCCCTGTTCAACATGAACCCGATGGGTGCGTTCCCATCACCGTGCGACCCGTGGCCGGTGAACCTCTGGGCAGGCGCCTCGCCAAGCCTCGATCGCGCAGGAGGTGAGAAGGCAAAAGTAAGCTGCTGGCTCTCGAATGACGCTGAACCGTGCGGCGACGCGTGAGATCCGATGCTGCCGCTCCTCGCGGCCGTCTGAGTGGACTGGGTGGCTGGTGACGAGGAGGCTTCGGTTCCGGTCTCCTCTACTGCTCGACTTGCCTCGCTTTTACGTCTGGCTGAACATAGAATAAGCCCCTGGTGTAACGAAAAGGAACGACGTGAAGGTTTGAGAAGGAAGCCAAGGGATTGACAATGTGTATAAATTTCAATAGGATGTCTGTGATAGGAAAGATGTCCAGGAAAGGAAAGTCAAGTCACACCTCTCTGCTGCTCCAGCTTCTGGGCCTTATCGCCGACAGAGGCACTTTTCCTCGAGCTGCCGGGTGCATGCTTAAAGCGTAATGTGGTATCAAAGTGACACTCCAAGTCCGCCTCGACGCAGGCGCCGCAGCCCGTCGCGCCGGGTTGCACGACGCATTTGCGGTGACGCCGCCGGCAGGCGTTGCAGCAGCGTCGGGGCTTCATGTAGCTCTAGCCACCGGCGGCCCCCGATCTGTTCGTCTCTCTCTCTGCCTCTCTCTCAAGAGTGTCCGAGTGTCATCCGAAACCTGCCGCATTCGGTACTCACTGTCTTGTCTCCTTCCGCCGGAAAGTAATCACCATTGCCGTGAGTGGTGGGGGGTTGCCACAATCAATCTGGCCGGCCGGGGTCGGGGTGAGGATGGACAGACAAACGTACGATTTTGGGTGTGTTGCGGGGGAAGCAGAGGTGAATCCCGCGGGATACATGGCCTTTTGAAGACATGGCAGACAAACAGGGCATTGGTCGGGGCTCGGGATCGACGCGATGCGGGGGTGAATGCGGGGTGAATCCCGAGGATAAAGCATGCCTGTCGCTCGCTCGCGATTGGGTTCTGCATCGTCACGTTTTAGCCCCAAGCCAAAGTTGAGTTGGAGGGTCTCCATTTCAAGTAAAAGCCTCCGCAGTTCAGGCAAAAGGCTCCGACCTGCTGAAGAATATTGTTCACACCTTGACTCTGTTCTCTCTTCTGCGTGAAGTTGACTGGCCAAGCATGGTTCAACGCCCCGTATTGAAGACTCCATTCATGTCAGGTGATCGGGCCAATGCATAGGAAACGGTACAACTCTCTACTGAAGACCCGGGTCAGCCGCGACAAGATGAGTTGAGGTATTTATACTGGCGACAAAGATTCCGAGACAACCGTTGAACCCCGTCAGATCTCCGACTTCACGATCAATTGGAACTCCCGCCCAATCACACCAGGATAACAGCAGCTAGTCTTATCTGATCACATCTACACAACATAGGATGGCGTCAACGGGAACCATCCGTTCCCACACGAGGACAGCTCCGTCGGAACTGCCACAGAGCAAGCATTGGCATGGATCCTGTTTGATTGCACAGACAAAGATGACAGTGTCAGCAGATCAAGCCCTAGTTGACCCACGATGTCGAGGGTGGCGAAACCTGCTATTGACCAACACCGAGCCCGGTGATACACGTCTTGTTCCTGTTGAATAAAGCCACTCCTACTTGATTCGGGCCCCAAAAGGCTATATCCGATATTAAAAGGGCCATTCTTATGTACAAATACTTTCCATGGCCCCGAGGACCAGCTTCGAGCCGACCCTAAAGATCTAGCAATCGATCTCCCCAATCTCCTCCTCCAGAACAAAGATCGATAGTTAAGACAAGGAGAGAATCGAGTGGAACATGCGCGGGAAAGCTCCTGGATCTGAGACTGATTTAAGCTTCAACACACTGCCACTGAGCACCGACTGTGGCGTTGCCCCCCGAAGCTGAAGACAAGTGGGAACGCTGGGGATACGGGCAGAGCAAGCGCTCTTCAGCGTCGCCTTGTTCATTCTGCCGTTGCAAAGGAAGTGAGTCCGGAGCCTTTCCGTGCTCTACCCAGGCAACAAGAGCTTCCCACATAGCAGTTGGCTGCCCTCCAACACCCCCAGCGCAATGGGCCAACCCAGGAACCTCGAAGACGCGGTAAAAGTCCTGAGCCTTGGGGTCCAGCTTCAGGACTTCCTTGTAGTAGTGCGTCGTCTGCTTCAGGGGAATGAGGCCATCGGCCTGGATCGGAGACAATCAGTATATTGCCGAATCGCGTTGACAAGATTGACTTACAGTGCCATGATAGGTCATGAGCTTTCCGCCAGAAGCACGGAATCCAGACAAATCCGCATCAGCAGTTCCAATGATAGAGTTGAACTCGCGGATGGACTCTTTGAAAAAGCTAGAGAGGTTCTCGGGGGTCAAGTCTTTCCAGGATGCGGAGGAGTTCTTCTGCACGAAGAGGGGGATCCATTTGTCGCCAAATCCAGCCGGCGCGCCCTCGCAGGTGCCGTTGCTGCAGGCGGTTTGGGCATAGCCCAGGTCCGAAGTCTGCGCTCCGCCGGATGCATCGCCGGAGAGGCGGGCGTCCAGGTTCGGGCCGTACCAGAGGAAGCCTCCCTCCGGGGTGCGCGGGCCTGCCCAAGCCGATGCAGCGACCACTGCGGCCGTCTCACTGATGATTGACGTCTTGCCGGAGCAGTTGAACTGCTGTCCTACTAGAGTCATCGGGTCAAATTTGCACGCCGACTCATCAGAGACCAGACCGTCGACAAGGCCATCGACGGGATCGCACTCTGCGACGGCAGCGGCCGTGATGTAATCGAATTCGCAGCCTTCGGGAAACTCTCCACGGGAGTTCATGAGGGTCTGCGCCCAGATGGACGCCGAGAAGAACTCGTTCCAATAGATTGCGGGCGCCGAGGCAGCGATGCCGTCGTATGCGTCGGGGTATCGCTGGGCTAGCATCATGCCCTGTCGGCCACCTTGGGAGCAGCCGCTCCAGTACGCGTACTCGTGCTTCTGACCGTAGAAGTTCTCTGTGAGGGCCTTCACGATGATGGACTAGCAGAAGATTAGCAAGGTACGTTCACACACCCCAGGGTGTCAAATGTTCGTCGTGCGACCGAGACTCAGTTGCAACTCACCTGGTCATGGAGGGCCACGGATCCAAAATTTTGGAGGATGTACAAGTTTACATTCCCCTCTGAGACCATCGCCCAGTCGTCCGGAGTGTACGCGACCTGACCACTCTTGTCCCGGAGCCCGGCATCAATGCTTGAGGCAACATAGCCCTCGGCAACGGCGCCAGTCATGGCCTGGTATGAGAGGAAGAAGCGGCCCGCAATCCAGCCCCCGCCGCCGACGGACTGGATGCGGCCGTTCCAGGTGCTCAAAGGCAGCCAAGTCTCGACACCGAGACTGTCATCCTGGCCGGGGTGGGTGTACGTGATCGTGATGTTGCAGAAGTCGACGCCTTCGGCTTTGATGGTGGGGTGGTTGTAGTTGTAGTCCTGCGATGCGGTCTGGGTGTAGTTCAGAACCGGGACCGCTGTCAAGGAGAGTATCTCGGCTCCGTAGAGCGATGGTATGGGGATGTTGGCGTCGGTGCACGCAGAGACGGGAACGACTGGATACGACATGCTGAGTCGTCGGTGGAGGTTTGAGTAAAGAAAGTGGTGAGGAGGTGGTTGACTGATCCTACAACTCAGAGGATTCGAGATGGGCAGACATGATATTTCTACTTTTTTAAACTGTACCACCTATCGCAGTAATACCAATGATCTTTGTGTCCTGCCGAGATGCCCGCAAATCCTAAAGCGAGAACGCGGAATGAGGTTCGGACACGGAGAGCTCTGATTGGTCTACCCAGGATCACCACAGACGACAAGAAATCATACGCGGTTCCCCTGAGTTAATCCGAATTACCCCACAGAAGAGACAACAAACAACGGGGAAACAACGTCACTACCCGTGTTGACAATCGGGAACCGGATTCCGATCGTGCAGCTAGTGTAACGGGCGGCAGGAACCATCACGGTTATGGACCCAGAGACTCTGCGTTACACACTTTCGCGTAACCATCATGTTTGTAAATCTAATTCAATAAACCGGAGTCTTCCCAGAGAGAAGCAGCCCGTCGAAATCAAAAGTGCACTGGGGATATGTTTATTTCCAATTTTCAGTCTCTGGGCTGTTCGGCATGCTTGGGTTCTTGCGACCAGCGCGGCTGGTCGACTCCTTCATCAGAGCCACAACTCTTGCGGGTCACAGTTTTCCACAAGCAAACGAAAGAACGCCAATGAAGCCCACAGCCGACAGAATTCGGCCTGCTGCTATAGTCTCGAAATGCGGACATTAGCTAGGATTTCACTGTTAGAAAACACTTTATGGCCCACTACTACAGGTGTTGCCCCCGAGATGAGCAGGATGAGCTGGATATCATTACAGGACCTTAACGCCGCTATCTATTCTTATTCAGGGGTATCTCTTTAGGGAAACTCTCAAGGGTTTACAACAGTATCTAATGCATAGTACGCCATATTCTGTGCGTTTTGTACCTTGTCCTTGCCATCAATGTGTTCACAGCTGTTTTCGTATTAGCAAGACGTTGGGCCACGATGCTTGTGCACAGAATACATACCAGTAAGGGTGATAGCACGCCTTGGTAACATCATTCGGTGCCGGAGCGTAGTTTTCGACGTCGGTGCACCTTCTCTCAGCCCCGGTGATTTGAGGAATGTGTTGCAGCTCATGTAGCAAGGAAAATCCCGACGTGAGCAAAACCTTTCCAGTCTGGTCCCATCCAGACGTCCGCCAGTCGTCCACCATGTTTTGCCATGTAATCGAACTGAAAAACGGCGGACACAACGTGACAAGGGGACCTGTGTTGTCCGAGATGGATCCGATCTGGAACGCGATGGCAACAGCCCCCGGCCCGCAGAGCGCAAAGTCGTACGGGATGCACACGAACGTGAGCCCCGTCGGGCTGAGCGCGGCCATGTTGGCGTCGTGAATGCGGTTGCGTTCCCATGGCGGCTTTACGTCTGCGACGGGGTCGTAGTTGTTGCTTTTGATTGCTGTTCTCATGGCATCGTTGGCGTTCTCCTCTTTGGCGTGTTAGCGTGTTGGTTCCTAGTGATGAACTTCAATTAACTTACTGCCGAACCACTTGAGGAATGACTTAGAGCCCGTGGACTCTGGCTTCGCGAGTGCATCTGAGGCACTTCGGGCCAAGGTTTTAGCCTCAATCACTGCCCTGTGCAGCGTGTCTATTTGGGAGTCGCTGCAGCCTAGCTCGTCTCCTTCCGCTTGGTCTACAACGAAGTAGCCATCCAAAGCTCGCTTGCGATGAAGGCTGGCGTGTATGCTGTGAGTCTCGGCCGGATGAGCGGAAGAAAAGGCCACAAGAGCGATCAGAGCGAACAAAACAGAAAACAACTCCATCTTGGAGAGCGTTGTAGAAGCCGGACGCGAGAGAAACAAGGCAATTCGAGATGTGCCTTCTTCATGATGTTGCTGCCCATCGTCTGTGTATATGTACTGAAAGTACACTGGCATCCAGGGGTGCTACGCGACTCATTTAGTAGCAAACTGCGCCTAAAAAAGAATGCCATACCCTGCTAACATTTTAAACTGAGTCAAATTCAAGGGGCATCAA